TGCATAAAATTATCACACAGGTATTCAATTTAAGGATTTTCCATAATTCCATAGTCAACCCAAAAATGAAACACTCTGCGTTGAAAAATATTGAACCGTATCACTGAAGCCCAGTTTCTGTGTGAGTAGTGAAGTCCCAGCAATAGTCAGCAAGCAAAGAGCAACAAAAGCCTCCGAACTTCTTGTATCTGCAACAACCTGAATTTCCCCAACACTTTATTAACTAGAACATATCAAAAATGAGTTTGGATTTGGAAGCAATTAATTTTTTGGATAAATCCCTTTGTGAAATATATTCCATCATACCTCAAAAACTCTTCGGAGGATATACTTTGCTCCAAATGAAAGCAGACCCAATCCACCTAATGCCTTCAAACTTTCTTGAGCAAGCATGGGCCAAATACTTTCCTCAGTCATAGTCTAGAATAAGACATAAGATAGTACTGGGTGAACAATCAATACATAACTTGATACATCTGATAATAAAAAACAACCAACTTAGTTAATCATTGGAAATATAATACTTGCAAGTGTTGTACACACGAAACCAGCACATATACCAAGCTTCAAATGGCAGGCCCATATACTAACATATATTCTGAATACAGTAAATATCACCACCAAACAAAAATATATATGTTTCTGCATGTATGTCAAAGCACAATAAAGAGATCTAGTAGACCTAAAACTGTTAATCTCCCAGACTAAAAAGAAGCAACCAAAACGGATGTAAGAAAATATAAAGTATGAGATACATGTTAACATTATTGCTGTTTACAGCTCACCTGGCTCTCAAGTACTGGAAGTATAACCAAAAGAGGGACAACAGCTATGTCCTGGAGATAACAAGCAGTAGAAAAAGAACAGAGTTAATTAAACCAGATCTTTTGTTTACTGACACTATACTTATCAATCTAGTGGGGTATATCAGAATATACCAACATGTATAACCTAAAAATATCATTGATTTGAAAAAAGTTTGTGATTAAAAAACTACATACTTGCAGATGAAGAGGATGTAATCAAGCAAGAGTACAAGACAAAAACCTGCAAAAGAAGTATCCCAAGAGTTGCTGAACCAAGCCTTGTAGGAAGCTCACCTTTCTCTGCAAGAAGCTACAAGTATATGCACGCTTGATAAGTTACAGTGTCCAGTTAAGTTTCACATATCACACAATGTCTTGCTTACTTTCAATTTCAAATACATTCAATATCACAAATACCTGAAGAACAAATGCAGAAGATGACAGAGAGAGAGCAGCCCCAATCACTACAGCTTCGTCGACACTTCTGATGTTCACCTATAAATAAGATCTCTAAATAAGTTAAAGATTAAAGCAAGAATCTTCTTCTAGTTGTCTCGATACCACACATTTGCAAACCCAAACTATAATTAATTATCTGTCTTATCAAACAGTCATCTTGAAAGAGCTGGTGGGTGTAGGTCTACAGCCATATTTTTAAGAATGATCCTTATACAAAACCCATTTAAGTAATGCCATTGGGCTCTATCAAACACCACTTTGAACTGTGGTTTTAATTGTTAACTTACGCAGAAAGGACGATGTAGCATTTGTCAACTAGAACCTTGTAAAATGTCAAGGAAGTGGGAACCACTTAGCATATAAAGACTCAAGTTTTATAAAAGGGTGTTTGAATAGTTTTTATGAATCAAACATAAATTATTTAGAAGCTTCATTATTAAAACGTTCAAAGCTTTTAAGCATATTTGAAGCTTAAATGGATCATCAATATAAATAATGCCATAATAGCTTTAGTTCCAACATTTTGAAAATTCATGTACACAAGAATCTATCACTCTTATAGACGGAGTTAGACTATATCCTCACAAAATGTGCTTCCCTTCCCAAGAGAGTAAGAAAATGTTCTGGAATCTTATATAAAAGACAGGTGTCAATGGATACTTACTATGAAAATCAACAATAGAAATATATCCCATTCCCCTAACTTTCTTTACACACAAAAAAAAAAAATTCTTATTTGAAGTGTCTGTATTTGCATGTGCATGTTCTGTTATTTCTGTATGTCTCTCGCCAAAATGATTGTACTTTACAATAATGAAAAAATACAAGAAACAAACAAAAAATGTTAGATATAGATCTTACCAGATCAGACCTCGAGTGGAAAAGGAATTCCAAGATTTTAGTTCCAACAGCCCCATTTGGTGGAAGCTCAAAAGCAGTGAATGCTAAAGTAGATAGTAAAACCTTCAAAAATGTTGGAATGGCTATTAAATTAAGCAATAAGGACAATAAAGATCAAAATGTAATTTTATAAATGTTAAATAAGAAATTAGTATTTTCCCTTAGAAGTTGTAGAGCAATTATGAAGATTGAATGACTAAGTGTAATAAATTAATCAATCATCTATGTTAAGCAATGAGTAAAATGGCTTGCGAAATTCCCTTAACATGCCCAGGCACTTCCAAAACATCATACCTGAGTCAATCCCATTCCAAACGCATACTTTGCAAGAGCTTTCAAACGTGCTAGTGAAAGTTCTAAACCCATCTCAAACAGCTGAAAAGAAATAAACATTACTTCAGAATAACTACATGCCATTTTTTCAGAATTATTCCCAAAGATTATCACCATGACAAGAATACAGGTATTTCATACTTATATTCTATATTTATAGGAAGTTCTTCAAAAACCTCTTATCATATACCACTACGAGTGTTTGCTACCTTGTCTCAGAAGTTCTTCAAAAACCTCTTATCATATACCACTACGAGTGTTTGCTACCTTGTCTCAGAAGGTACGTGAACTTAACAGCAAAAGTGGTACTTCTATGTTCCAAATTTAGGTTCAAGCAACATTACAGTTGAAATTTTATAAAGTAAAATGGGCCAATGGCTATTTAGACCAATGTAGAAAATAAAATCAAACAACACATATGAAAATCGAGCTTACAGGCACATACAAAAAATATATCAACAGCAACAACAAGAGTAGCAGCAGTGGCACGTTACTGAGATTTATCTTACCAAGAAAAGAATCCCCCATTCCGACAAAACTTTAACATCTTCAAGGTTCCTAATTAAACCAAACTGATTAAGCACCACCCCAGCAAGGAAGAAACCAAGTATCTGAAAACAACAACAATCAAATTCATTTCAATCACACATACACGAAACTGCAAATTCTTTATACATCATATAATCACAATTCACAAAGTCTTACAGGACTGGCTTTAATAAACTTGAACGATGGGACGATAAAGACGGTAACAGCCAAGAAAGTAAGAGTATCCAATCCTAGATCATTAACAACTTCAACCGCTCCAGCAACATCATATGCTGTAGCATTTGTCCGTAACCGTTCCGACCTTAACGGCCTATACTTAGAGAAATAGGATAATTTCCAACCAGAAAATGAAGGAACATCCAGAGACGTTCTTCTATTGAAATTCTCTGATACAGTACTACCATGACATAGAAACGGAAGTTGCTTAGAACTTTTACAAATTCGCGAAGCGGCGCGGTTATAACCGGGACTCTTTTGATTGGTCAAGTCATATCCCTGCAGAGGAAATTGAAAACAACATGTTCAAATTCAAATATGCACAAGAATGAGCAGCATCATACTCCAATTTAGTTAGGATTGAAGTTACCTTGAGGGTTTGTGAACAAGATAGTAAAGACTCCAACATAGTGGCAGTGGTTAATTAGAAAGTAACAAAACCAAATTTGGGAAAGTTCATTTGCATATAAATTCGAAATATGTTGAGAGATAAAAACTTAAATACGAACATACACACACCAAAAAAAAAAGCTTAAAAATGTGACTGGAAGGAATGCCTTAGAAAATGGAGGAGGAGAAAGATACACGTAGAGTTGGGAAGAAGAGAGGTGAAAGATAGAAGAAAACGAAAGGATTTGGATATGGTGTTGAAATCTTACGTGAATGGAATATATGAATTGTGTGAGTATGAATCGTTTGGCCACCTCAGCAATTCAAGTTTATTGTCATGATGTGGAACTTGTGGATCACAAATATTTCTCTCATTTTTCCCACACAGAATGAGAACCATGTGGCAATTGCTTCGTTTTATAAAACAGATTTTTCTAATTACTTTAATGACAAAGTATATTAATAGTTTTTTATTAAACGAAAATACAAAACTATTTTACAATGCATTAAACTCTTCATAAAATTGTAAAAATAAGTTAAGCGGTTAATTGTGGAGCATAAGCAAACTTATTGACTTTTTTTATATAACAAAATTCACATAAGAGCTCATAAAGTTGACTGTTATTATAGTATTATCATATTAGCGGTCAATTGTTTTTATTAATACTAATATTTTGGCCAACTAACCTCAGAATAAAGGTGAGAAAACATGCCTAATCAAAGTTTTTTAAATATATTATATTTATAAAAAAAGATAATAGATGTGACGATATTCTCCCTAATACTAGTTTGCTTTTGATCTATAAACAGCCTCTACTCAAGTAGTTCAAACTTTTCTTTTAATATGACTCTGTTCTCTCATTTAATCTTTTATTTGATTCTTATCTTTCTCAAAAAACATAATTTTGAGAATTATCAATACTAAAAAATCAAATAAAATATTTTTAAAAACTATATCTGCAGATTCAAACCTCTGCAGCAAATATTTATAATTACACAGGTACCAACGCTGGTTTAATGAGAAGAGATGGTGTCTACATATATATAATACTTATAACATAGTTTATTTATTAAAAAACTTACAAGGTTCAGACATAATTACATTCTATAGCATCAAAACCTGTTCATACCAAAACAGACTCAGAAAACAATGCAAGCACCTGTGAACATACTGAAATACAACCCAAGAGAGAGGAGGGATGTAAACGAATAACTGGTTTAGCATCGTTAACGATTACATAATTTAGGTACCATCAATCTATAAGCCTCATCTCAATTTCAGCACTGTTTATACTTATTTATGAACCTTGAGCATCACATCCACCCAGTGAATTACATTACAACAAACTAAGAATTGGCTGGTGCAAATTTCAGTGAAATGCTATTGACGCAATGTCGTTCGTTAGTGGGTGTTGAAAATCCTTCGCCTTTAAATACATGACCAAGATGTCCCCCGCATGCAGCGCAGGTTATTTCGATCCTCATTCCATCGGGGTCAGCCTGAAGGGGGGAGTGAAACACATCAATTTTATCAGGTTTTAATAGATTTCAATTGATGATGCAGTTCTAGTAATATGCAAATATAGTGAAGAAAAGACAGAATGATAAGAACAAATAAACTCACATGGCGATTTATGGCTCCAGGAAGACCCTCATAGAAGGCTGGCCAGCCACAACCGGAATTGAATTTTGTCGTAGACTTATAGAGTGGAGTTTTACAACCTGCACAACTGTAGACTCCCTCCTCAAAGAACTTGTCATATTCTCCTGTTCCGGGGTACCTTAATATAATACCAAAACATTTTCTTGTTAACAGAAAAGCAATTCCCCATTTTGAGTATTACTATATATATCATCATTGGTTACTTATTCCAGTTGACAGAAAAGTATGGTACAACTATCATTTATTTAATGAGAAATTCTAGAATCTCCACATCACACAAAACTCCTGTCTGATTCAAAGTTACTACAATTCCTCCACCTGGATAGTTTTCTTTTCTCTGCTGTGATGACCTAACTTATATGATACTGAGCACATTCTTTTTTACAGAAACATTTATACGTTCTTAGCACCTACACCTCCAAAAAAATGTGCCGGTGTTAATGTCTTTGTTTGAATCTGACACTAACACTTGTGATTATGTTTAATTTATTCATTTTTTTCAAATTATTATCAGTGTCAACATGTCAGTGTCGTGTTTGTGGTGTATGTGCCTCATAGTTTATGAGTACTTATTTACATTGTATTTGTAGCCTTTATGCAATATTCCACTTAACTTAACCAGATACTCTTCATGAATTTCTCCTTAAAAATTAAATCAAAGTTTATAAAAAAGATAAAAGATTTCCTACATAAAACGTGATGCAAGCTCTATGTCACTAAAGCAGAATAAAAATTACCATTTACCATGATTTGTTTAGTACTATAGCATACATAGTTACCCTCGTTTTCTAGTCTAAAAACGGTGTTATAAATAGCTTAACTAAGAGTTTATAGATAAGCATTCATCAAATAAGTTATGTAATTTTTATCATTAAAGATAAAATAGAGTCATATAATATTTTCAGATAAGCTATTCTAACGAGCCCATATAAATAAGCTGTTAAACCTAACCAAAGAATAAAACACTCCAGTTATGAAGTTGAAAATTTTCAAAAACACAAACTATGATGATGATTTAATTTTCAATTTCTGAATCAATGAAGCTATGTTGAATTGTTGGACAGAGCGTTAAGTTTTATCCCCAATTAAGCTACGGATAGAAAGAAAGTGAAAAATGAAAGGTTGATTGATTGAGAAATCGAGAGATAAGATAACGTACTCAGTGCCTTTCTGCCTCAGAATTCGAAACTGCTCAGGGGAGAGAATAGCTTGCCATTCTTGCTCAGATTTGTGGACAGGCCCAGGTCCTTGTGAAGCCATGGCGACAATTCCGGCGCGGAAATGACGCTTCGGTTGCCGAATGGAAACGTTGGGAGGAGTAAAAGTGAAATTGGTGTTGAAGAGAAGGGTGAGATGGTTTGAGGAAATCGGTTTGGTCGCCGTGTTGAAAGAACAGAGAGACGTGGTTCTTAGAATATTGAGGCTCGTCAGCGTCATCTTGTTCGTGCGTGTGTGTAACACTCGCGCAACCAAAATGAGGCCATTATTTGGATAAATAAATAAATGATTTTTAGAATAAAATAACTAAATTACCAAACTCTCATGAAATTGTCAGGCTCGGTTGCATAAATCATTTCAATAAATAAAAGAGAAGATTATATTTTTATTAAACATTTAGTGTAATGCATTTTCTCATTTAAAGTGATGAAATGAAAGTATATTAATTTGTTGTTGTAAAAAAAGTAATAAAATAATACATCTGAAAGAAAGAAAAAAAATAAATACTGTACTTGATTTTGTTGTGGATTCTAACTTGAATTTTATTGGTGGTGTAATGTGATAGGTGACAAAGGGACATATGTTCGTTTCATTTAAGTTTGTTTTGCAAAAGTCTGTAAAAAAACGAGTGGGACAGACAATGTATAAGGCGCGGATTTAAAACATTGACTCATGTTGTTCCTATTAGATTGATTGCATTTTAGCAAAACAATAATTTGAATAATCGTCCAAGTGTTTAAGATTGATTTAGCTTGCTAAAGTTGAATGAAGCGGCAGAAAGAACACGTGTTGGGCACGATCCTCTAGCATGTTGGTACGGCATATGGACCTTGTGCAATAGACGCCAGAATAATGTGTTTTGAACTGTGTTCTATAAAAGATTTGTTAAAGATCTTATTGTTATTGATTTAACAATATGATTAGATGATTTATTTGACAGCTATATGGAGTTTAATTCGGATTTAAATAAAGATTTAAATTTGAATTAAAAACGAATCATATCTTGTTGGAGATATTCAAGGAGCAAATCAAATATCTAACATACTCTGCATTAATTCTAGACGAATACAAAGATATTATCTAAGGAGAAAAATTCAGAGTTATATTGTTATATAAGAAGCTCAAACCTACATTGGAAAGCAAGCACTCCCATTGAAGATCTTAGAGTGTTAGATTTTGTGTCGTGTATCCATGATAATGCCCTAATAGAATTAGTGTAGGATCTTTATCTACACCTCTATGTTTCAGTAACTTGGCATGGATGGTTTGTCTAGTTGAGTTGTAATCAACATTTTTTATATACGCCTTTATGTTTTAGTAACTTGGCATATAAGGTTTGTCTAGTTGAGTTGTAATATTCAATATTTTTTATCTTTTGAATATTGAAGTTGATCACTAGGGTTTAGTGGTTGTTTTCCCCTGGCACTGGGAATGTGGCAGAGAAGAAAATGAGTAGGTTCTCATATTTAGGGGGAGACTTTAAATAGAAAGTCATTGGGTAGGGTTAGGAAGACGCATTGAACAACATGGGGTTTGTTGTTGCTTGTAAATCTAAATGTACTAAACTACTAATAGTGAATTTCTTTTCTTTATTTGTGGACTCAACCCCCTAGACGTAGGTGTAGTTTCACCGAATTGGGTAAATAATTTGATTGTGTTCTTTATTACTTTTCTACTACATCATCTATTCTAGCTAGTGTGTTGTTTCTGGTGTATCTTGTTGCACCTGTTGCTGGAGCATCGTGTTCGACATCTGTTCCCTGGGGAATAAAATTTCAATTAACACCAGAGCAGACACCTTAGCCTGTTGGATGAGCTCCAGAGAAGATAAATTATGCCCAAATGGAGACAATTAAAGATGGAGGGTCTATCTACAAACCACCTACTTTAGATAGCACAAACTATGATTATTGGAAGGTGGTGGTGGTTTCTTTTATCAAATCCTTGGAAAATAAAGCATGGAAAATTGTGTTAAAATGGTGGAAACAACCTATAATTACTGTTGAAGATGGCACAACCGGTATGAAATTAGAAGCAAATTGGACTAATAATGAAGATGGGAAGCTCTTGGAAATTCAAAGGCCTTGAATGATACTTCTAATGGTGTGGACGAGAAAATATTTAGGTTGACCAACACATGTTCAGAAGCTAAAGAAGCTTGGGAGATTCTCAAAACTGCACATGAAGGCACATCCAAAGTTTGTATGTCAAGGTTGCAGATCCTTACCACCAAGTTTGAGAACTTAAGGATGAATGAAGAAGAATCTATTTGTGAGTTCCACATCAGATTGTGTGATATATCCAACACCTCTTTTGCGTTAGGAGAAAAGACATCAGGAAAAAAAAGCTTTCTAGGAAAATTCTCAGATCATTGTCTAAGAGGTTTGATATTAAAGTAATTGTTATTGAAGAAACTCATAACCTAAGCAATATAAAAGTTGATGAACTGATTGGCTCCCTACAAACCTTTAAGATGACCTTGAATGATAAATATGAAATAAGAACAAAAGCATAGCTCATTTATCCAACACTGAAGAAGATGAAGATCAAGGTGGAGAAAGCTTTTTAGAGGCTATAGCCCTTATTGGAAGAAAGTTCAATGATGATTTGAAAAAGCTGGATAGAAATTGAGGAAAAATGTCCCAAATAAGAGGTCGGGCATCAGTCCAATGAACAAGGGCAAAAATGATTTCAAAGATGACAAAGGCAAAGGAGCTCAATGTTATGAATCTGAAGGGTTTGGCCATACTATAGTTGAATGTCCCGCTTTTTTAAAGAAATAGAAAAAGGAATTTTCAATCACTCGGTCTGAGTCTAATGATGAAACAACAAATAAATTGATGGCTTTTACTGTGAAATATGACTCTTGCAGTGAGTCTAGTGATGAAGAGAAATCAACAGAAGATCTTGCTGAAACTTATAGAGAATTGCTCACATAATGGAAAGAATCTTGCTTGAGATAAGAGAAACAAAAGAAGGCCAAAAATGCTCAACTCCTTAAAAAAGATAAGCTTCACTCAATCATTGCAAGTCTGGGAGAAGAAGTCACAATGTTAAAGTCCAAACTTCACAACATGACAAAATTTGTTCGTATGTTGAACAATGGTTATGATATATTATATAAGATATTACAGACTGGGGAGAAGAAAACTATAGGGTTTTACTATAGTTTCATGAACAAAAAGGTCAAATTCCACTCTAATAAGTTTGTTCCTCATAAGAAGAAGACTGAGTTTTAGATGTTGGACCACATGTCTCAATATCGTGCTCGACATGTGCTCCCTCAACATAGAAGCTACAAAAATTATGCAACGAAATGTCATCACTGTGGAAGATATGGTCATATAAGACCTTTCTGCTATAAACTTTTATGGATATCCTCAATTTTATAGTCATCTAAAGTCCAAAGGAAAGAAACAAAAGAAAACTCAAGCTAATAAAGTATGGAATCCTAAGGAAACTGTCAAATGCCTTTTAGCTCATGTTCCTCATAGAGTTTCATCTAGAAAGGATTGGTATTTTGATAGTGGATGTTCACAGCATATGATTGGTGAAATGATCTATATTGAAGAGTTAAAGCCCTATTTTAATAGTTATGTCATATTTGGTGATGGAACTAGTGGAAGAATCAAGGGGATGTGCAAGATGGTGAGTCCAGATTTACCATGCCTTGATGGTGTGCTGCTAGTAGAAGGATTAACTGCTAACTTGATCATCATAAGTCAATTATGTGATCAAGGTCTGGATGTTAGCTACAACAGGTCAGAATGTATTGTCTTTAGCAAGGATCAAGTTGTGTTAATAAAGGGCTCAAGATCCAAAGACAACTATTATTTGTGGATTTCACAACCCTCGTCCAAGGTTAAGAGCGGGAATAATATCATATCTGAAAATGATATCAATGGGTTACCAAAACTCAAGATTGAATAAAAATTATCTTATGGGATTTATGAAACTCATGCCAGGAGTCACCATTAAAGGAAAGCCTGATGGCCAGGGTAGAAATCCTCTCAACTTTGAACAACCTATTGTAGTACAACTAAGGGAGAATAATGGTTATGATAGAGGTCCTTCTTATATATTTGGAAGGATGACTAATAAACAACATTTCATGGTGCTCGATGAATTGGAAGCTGGTGTGTAGGAGTATGTATCACACAAATTTGATCTCGATGCTGAATGGATTCTGAATGGTTCCACTTAGAATTGGGCCTATGAGAATGCTTCATGTTGAAGATTCCTAGAATTCAGGTTTGAGAAATTATGATGATGATAATGATGTGTCAGACATCTTGTCCAACATGTTGGCTGGATATCAAGGGCATAAGAAAGTTGATGGTAATAACCATGGAGATGTTGAGGATGATGATGGTATAACTGACGTCACTCGTAATAACCAGATCAAACTTTGGAAGATATGAAAAGTCTGACTAATAGAGTGGTATGTAATAATGAAAACATTTTTATGGATTGTGTGACTAATATCAAGAAGCTAAGAGTGATCTCAAAGAACACACAATATATGGTTGATATGTCTCCTCATAATGATGAAGATCAACCCTTAATTGAAAGTAATGATAAACAAGTTGTTTCCTTGGTATCTGTTTGTTAGGGACCAATTGGTATTAATTTATATATTTTTTATCGATCCCTTTTTACCGATTTCTTATTAAATTCACACAAGTTTTTTATCACAATTTAGTAAAACATTCAATTTTAGTTATTTTGTTTTGTTCGAATAGATATTTCACTTTTTCTTTAAGTCTTGTAGATTTTTTGTCAAGAAAAGAATGATTGCATAAAAAGATCTCCGGAGCAATACTTGAAGAACAAAGTCGGCAAAAGCAATGCGAAGCAACAAAGCAAGCAATTCTGTTTTTGACAGTTCGCGTCACAAACTGAGTGCATTTCAACCACATGCAAAATAATGACACTTGTCCTGTCTTGGAAGAAAAACCACCTTTTTGTAGGGTGGCACCCCATAGCCTATTTATTGCACTTTTTCCTTGCATGTTGGACATAATCATTCCACCTTTTAGTCTTAGCATCTCTTAGGTTTGTAGAATAACTTAGAGAGATTTTAGAGGATATTTTCTTGTCTTGGAAAGAGGTTTTCATGCAAGAGGAGATTATTGAAGAATTTGCTGAGTATTCTATGAAGATGATGAGCAGCTAATTTCATTTCTTGTCAAGCTTGAGGTAGTAATTATCCTATGTTG